TGGTCGCCCATCTCAGGTAACCTATATCCTAGAAAGATTTTGTCATAGTTTGTATTTGAGTCTTCGCGTATTGTTTGCATGACTCTTTCCTGAGTTTCCGGTTCAAGCTCTTCAAACAGAGCTTGTCCATATGGAATAAGCTCGTTTCCAAATATATGTTTTTGTAGCCATTCTGGTTTTCTTTCCATGTTACCAATAATATCTTTTGTGAATGGGAAAGCTTTTACCCAATGTTTCAGTCTTGCGTCATTTATTTCTGTAGTTGGTTTTATTTTGTCAAGGAACATGTTTTTCAATACTAACATTTCATTTGGTACTGTCCATTTGAGTTTTCTTAAATATTCATCCCTTCTCAGTTCATTGTCTGCAAAGTAAGTTTTTATGACATTTTGCAAACTTTCGTTTGCAAGGTCATGTACAATAAGTTCTCTTCCTTCTCTCTCCCTAACTTTCTTTCTAAACTCTTCACCAAATATACCATCTCTATGGTTCTGTGTAGTTCTTTGAGATAAATGTTCTAGAACGTCAGGTGTTATATTTCCATCAGCCATGTTCATTTCATACTGGTCCAAAATATCTGCATCTTTCATATCTTTCAATGGCATTAAAGCCGCGCTGAAAATACCCGTTATATCTGGTTCACCATTCACTTCCATTGCGTCTACAACTTCTTGGAATTGAGGTTGTAAGTTTATGAACCACCTATCCGGATTAGCTTTATGACCCCATCTCATTGTAGTTCCATAGTCTGCAGAAACAAAAGTAGGTTTTTTTCCATATTGGTTAGGTTCTGAATGAACTTTAAACAATGTTTCATTTCTATATGTTTTGTTGAAATTTAACCTTTTATTTTCACCGAGTTCAGCCAAAGATTGAACGTTATATGGTCGTAAGTAAAAAGGATTATTGTATTTGCGTACATTTTCTTTCAGTACTTCCATTCTATGCTGAATATTTTCATCTGATGTTGGAGTCCTTTGTATGTCGGTGAACATTTTTCGATATTCTTCTACTATGTCAGCCGAATTTTTCTTAGACTCTTGGAAAGATTCCATATTCTCCGCATACACTTGTTGAGGGTCAAGATTTTTCGGCTGTTCCAAATCTTCATCTAGTTCTGGGAAGTTAGTTTCCAAAGGAGGGACTTGTTTGTTTCCTTCAGGCTCTTCTAGCTGTTGTTGCTGAACTATTTCTTCCATGTCTGGTTGTATCTGAACTTCTTCCTGTGGAGTTTCTTGTACCTCATCTGCTGGCATTTCATATATTCCGAGACCGTTTTTAACAAGTTCCCTATCTAAGTCATCCGGACTCATAAACCTTTCTTCTTTCGTTCCGTCTCTATTTTTTACGCGTTTCATGAAGAGAGTTGAATTATCATTTAGCTCTGACATCAAATATCTCGGAGTAAATTCATTCATGTCATTTGGATGATATGCTATTAAATCATATCCCTTAGCGAGCTTGTATTTTCCAGGTTTGAGATTATATCCGATTTGATGCTCAACCATAAAGCTAAATAGGTTCGGGTCAGTATTTCCTTCCTTGAACTTTCTAATAGCTTCTTTATATCTGTCACTAAAGTCAAGAGTATCTGGGTAACCATAATCTTCCTTAAGCATTTTTAAGAATTCTTGGTTTCCTTTTTCTCTACTTCTTTTGTGTCTTTGCTCCGTTTGTGGTTGTTGTGCTGGATTTTGAACTGTTGATTGCTGTGCTGGATTTTGAACTGTTGGTTTTGGTTGTTGTTGTGGTGCTGGATTTTGAACTGTTGGTTTTGGTTGTTGTTGTGGTGCTGGATTTTGAACTGTTGGTTGTTGTGTTGGTTTTGGTGCATGCCTGTGTCTGTGTCCATGTGACGATGTAAATGTTTTAGGTAGTCCTGGTGCAGGTGCTTCTCTTGGAGGGTTTGGTGGTATATAAGTTCCACCAGCTGGCACATATGTTCCATCTGCAGCATAATGTCCTACCTGACTTTTCGTTTTTAAGAAAGCATTTACTAGGTCTGTTTTGGTCTGTTGTAACTCTTTTTCTTGACTTTCCACAACGGTTGCTCTAACGGCGTCATAGGCACTTTGAACTGCCTGTCTCGTTGCTGCATCTGTTATTTTCGTCATATTTTGTGCTACTTCTCTTAACTCTTTGTCGAAACCTTCAGACTTCAGTTTCTTTCCAGATGAGAAGTCGTTCACTAGTTTCACCTTACTATGAAGAGCTTCGAAGGCATTCTTAAAGTCAGCATTCATTAAAGCTTCATTTGAACTGTCTTCATCCGCTTGTATTTTTGTCCTTATTGACCCTATAAGTTGGGCTGCTTTAGCGTTGGCTTGGGCATCTAACCAGTCATTATTAGCTTTTATAATATCTGCGCTTTTCATTGCCTTTTGCATGGCTGCGTCGTTATTTTTACTTTCTTGTGCTAAGTTTTCATACTGTACGGTTTGGTTTTGCAACTGTAAAAGTTTTTCTGCCTTTACATTTGCTTCAACTTCTTTTTTATACTCATCGCTATCCATATATGTCTTCATGGCTTTTTGTTTTATCTCTTCATCTTTCAGTACTTTATATTGAGTAGTATGGTTTTTCAAATTTATAACATCTTGTTCCATTTTTGCTACTTCTGCTGCTTTTTCTGACACTTTTTTCGCATATTCCTCTGTACTTAGTTCTTTCAGTTGTTCTTCTTTCTTCTTTTTCTCTACGTTTAACTCATTGAGTTTCTTTGTGTGTCTGTCATATTCTAGTTTCTTTTCGTTTTCACTTATTTGTTTCTGTATGTCTATGTTTGACTTTTTGACATCTGTTATTTGATTTTTGAGTGAACTCAAATTCATTTGACTTTGAGGGTTATAAGCTGTTCCGTCTGCAGCTCCACCATAGCCTGCCATTTTCGCTAAAAGTGCCGCTCTTAAACCTCCACTCTGTGCACCAATAACTCGGTTTAAAAGCATAGGGTTGCTTGACATTTGTTGCAACATAGTGGGGTCATTCATAATTTGTTGTTGCAACTGTTGTTGTGGTGTCAGTTTTACTATTGGATGTTTCAATGCTCCCTTCCTCTTACGTATATTCTTACGTAGCTTACGTGGCATTTTAAGTGAAGTAAAAAACGGTTTTTGACAGATGTTTATATGACACTTTTTGTTCAGCACAAAAAACTACTCGGTCAAAGTGTTGTCAGTTTTGTAAAATAACCGTTCTATCTCATTCTATAAGGGGGAAAAGGCTTCTCAAAGTATACTTCTTTGGAACGCCTGTAACTTTTCCTGTAGCGACGATAGACCCTTACTTGTCCGGACAAAGTTATACTATTTTGAGTGCTCTACACAAAAGTCACCGGCTGGTCGGCTGGGGTTCGGTCCTCCTCTTGGGTCTTGGGAAAAATTTCTTATGGGCTAGAGGGCGCAACGCGCCTGGAAGCCCTCCGAATAAAAACTTCATTTATACTAAACATCTTCGGGGCTAGAGGGCGCAACGCGCCTGGAAGCCCCACTACCTTTTTTTAATTTACATGCTCCATGCACACACCAAGAACATTATGATGAATTTAAATTTTTGTTTAATTTTTAAGGGTGCACACGAGAGGATCATGTAAACTTCAGAATTTAGAACCTTATTTTTAGGCATTATCTTGGCTACCTATTTAGGCTCGAAAAGCAAAAAATATCAAAAAATACAACTTGACTCCATTATGACACTTTCATGGAGGTAGTTTTTATCCGCTAGTATTTTCCCTTTGAATCTCTTTACAATTCGAAATCAAATTCAAACCTCAGTAGAAGAAAGGAAGAATCGACTTACTACGGTTGTAATACGAATAAATACATATATTTAATTATTTTTATTTACATAATAATTGTTTGAAGCTCATATTCCATCAAATTTTTAAATAAAAACATTAAAATGTTGAAAATGTTCATATATTTTAATAGGGTTTTGGCACTTTATTGAGGAATTACTACATACATAGTCGAACTGAACTTGATATTTTGAAATTTAAATTATTTATCAAAATTAAAATTTAACTTGAAATTTATAATTATTTAGTCATATTTTGCATAATTCTAAGTAGATTTTGTAAAAAAATCAAGAAAGAAAAATTTTCACGTGCTTTATTTTTTCTTTTTTATAATAATACATATTATTATATAATTAACATATTCATAATGTTTCACCCTTTCAAAAATATAATCCTCCTCCTCTCAAATAAACGTACATACGGGTGGCCTCTTTTTTCAAAAAATTAAAATTTGAAATTTTGGGCTCAAATATTAGAGATTTTTTCAACCTTCAACGATATATGTTGTCTATATCAGACCTCCTTTCTTTTTGATACTTAACATTGTTCCTAAATCTTAGCCGTTAAGGCTGTTCTGAAAATATTTTTTTTTCGAAAAAATTCGAAAAAAATTCTTAAAATTCAAAAATCCCTTAATTCCTGAGGATTTTGGAAAAAAGTTTTTACATGAACATGTGTATATTATATGAAGTATATTGATAAGGTAAAAATCAAATTTTATTGCATATTCATCGAGAAAATAAACTAACGAATCCCTCAAAATTGAGAGGGTAATCCTCCTCCTCTCAAATAAACGTACATACGGGTGCACCCTTAAATAAATCAAATGATACTTTTTAGACATTTTTAATCCTAAAACAATGAAATCTGCCATAATAACAAAGAAATTTGATGTCCGCAATGAAAACAAAAATTTCATCCTAGCACTTTTGGAGAAATCTCAGCTGCAAAGGATGCAAGTTCAATTTATCCAGAGACTCATCATTTTCCATACACATACTTGAAAAAACTATCAAAGGTAACTGAAGTTTAAATTAAATTTAATAATAAATAATAAAGTAGCTTTATATTTCTGATTTTTCTTTGTTCTCTTGCTTCTTAAATAAGTTCTCTTTCTGTTTTCATGCACACTATTGTTAATCTCAAGATTCAGCTATTGTGTATGTTTCAAAAAGAATGTATTGAAATAAAATACGATTTTTATTTACATGTAATCAACTTTGAATGAGTTCATCCAGTTGATGATATCTTTGGATTGCTGGGATAAATTTTCGTCTTCGATTTCATCAACATTCGCATAGTTGAATGACTTTTCATTGCAATAGTAAGGCGTCAAAGCAGAGAATGAAACTGTTTCTTCATCCATCTTCTTCTGGATTTCAGAAACAATTTCTTTCGGACACAAACACAATAAATGTAATCCTCCATTTATTGTTGAAACAACAAATGTCTTGTAGATGTTATCAACAGGCTTAGATGGTCTCCATTTCATTATTTTCGTGACAAACTCTCCTAAACTGAAAAGAGATTTCGTGACTAATGATTTGTTGTCATCACTTGAATCATCACTTGGTTGGTGTTTCAAGTAATAAACACCACCATAGACATCGCAAGAAATAACCGAGTTCTCATCAACGAACTCAGATGAAGTCAACTGTTTAGAGTTGTAGTCAATCTTTGAAAGACAAATTTGGTTTGTATTCGCATCAAATATTCCACAACTCTTGAAAATGTCACTCCAAACAAAGAGTCCGCCTGTCTCGCTGTTTTCGTCATTCTGGTCTTCATTGAATGACTTCAGTTCAACACAAAGCATCATTCCTTCTTGTTTGTTCTCAGGAGAAAGTGTCAAACCGCCAGAATTATCGGTAGAAACGTTAATAACGTACAAAGATGATCCACTTGCGAAAACCACTTTTTTGTTCGAATAAGAAACACTTGTTACATCGAAATCGAACTGCATATTAGTGATTTTCACTAAAGATGATTCAGTATATTCATAGAAATAACTGTCACCTTTCTTATCACCTTTTGTCAAACCGCCAGCCACAACGATATAATTGTGACCGTTTAAAGCAACTGTTTTCATATCATTTGGCACGAAATTAGGGATCTTTTGGACAACTTTTCTTTGTAAAACAAAATTATACGGATTGTAGAATGATAATGCAAAACTATCTGCGTTTTCAACTGACAATAAAACAATTGTTCTGTCTTCAAGAAGATTTATTGACTTTACAAAACCGTCAACTGTAAATCTCTTGTATTCAACCAATTCTCTTGTATCCGAGATTTTTCCAATCATGTATGTTCCATCTTCTTTGATCATGATAAGTGAATCATTGAAATATTCTGCATTTGTGATACCAAAGAGATCACTCTTGTAGAAATCAAGTTTGTTTTCTTCATTTATTTCACAGATGCCTGATTTTTCGGTTGAAAAAACAAAAATAGAATGATGATGAGGTAAATATGTCAATGATAATGGTGAAAATGAAATTCGTATGGATTTGACGGAGTCTGTATCAAAACATTGATCTTTGTATTTGCATGTAATCAAATAGCCACTGCTAGTACCAATAAACAATTCAGACTTATTTTCATCATATAAAAGAGAACGAATGACATATGGAGATGAGACAGGAGATGAAAGACTACAAATAAGTTCACCACTGTCGATGTTATAAACACAAACACTATTGTTGGACCATGTGGAGACAAAAAGATTATTTCCAAAAACTATAAAACAACTTGGTTCACCACAAACATCGATTTCTCGTTTAAGGTGAATTTCATTTTTGTTTCGATATTCGTAGATTTTGACAACATATGAACCTGGTGAACTAAAAACAACAATATCGTTGTAAATGATTGAGTTCTGGATTTCTAAACCATCAACAGAAATGGTTGATGTTTTAATGCAATCTTCGGTAACTTGGATTTCTTGACTAATACTTTTAGTTCGTTTGTCACAACAAAAAGATTCGTATTTATCTTGATGATTGAATTCAGTAAAACTATCACCAGTAAAAACATAGTCTGAATCATCAATGACAAAAACTTTTTCGATGTTTCGCCGTTCTGATGAGTTACCTTCTTCGATGATTTCGATTTTGTTGCCTTCACCATAGAAAACAAGTTCGCTTGGATTTCTTGATGAAGAAACAATTAATGAATCGGATGATGTGACGGAATCATTGAACTTAAAAACATTGGTAAGATAACTGAGATCTTTCGATGTTCGATTGATTGTTAAACTGTTTAAATCTGTGAGACTTGTTTGTTCGTACTTTTGATGTGCTAAAATAAAATTATCTCTTAATACAATGCAATTAATTGGTGAAAAAATAGAAATAAATTTTTCTGGATGATCTGAACTTGTTTTGTAATAAATATGATCTTTTGTTCCAATGAAATATCCGGTGTCAGTGATGTTGATAAATGTGATGTTTTCTTTATGATCGTTTGGAATTTGTTGATGAATTTTGAACGAATTATCTGAATATTCGTAAACTTTGATTGTATTTTCTTCAACAATAGATATGTATTGAAAACAAAACAAAACTTCTTTGTCAGTAAATTCTTCATATGATTTCAGAATGTCGTCGTTGTATCCAATAGTACTATTATCGAATGATTCAATATCAACTGATTGTAATTTGTGATTGTCTGTGAAGAAAAATAAGTGATTTTCGTAGTAATGCATTCGAATCGGAATAAATGATGTAAAATGGATTTCTTTGACTGTAAGTGCATCGCCTATCGTAATTAAGAATAATGATGTTGGATAAAGAGAAACGAAGACGTATTTACCACCTGAACTAATGATTGGTGAGAATATTGTAGGCTTAATACCTTCATGACGTAATTCGGTAGATGTGAGTGTAGTGATTTCGTCGTTTTCGAACCAAAGTAAGGTAAATGAAAAATCTGAGGTGACAAAAGCAACGCGATCTGTGGACCAGTCGCAATTTGTGACAATATGTGCACTAATAATTGTATTTTGGATTGGAGCAGAGCTCTCTAATTCGATGTTTCGTGTTTCTGAGTTGAATGAATAAAGATCGACTGAGTGTGTTCTGATTTGGACAATATCATCTGAGTCTGAAGAAAGTAAATGTGCTTTTGCAAGCAATACAACATTCGCAGACTGCTTTATTGTTGATGATAAAACTCCATATTCCATTTTTTTTACAAAAATAAATTTTGACAATTGCAATTCATAAATTATATATTCAATATTCATAAAAATATATTCATTGTGTCTTATAATTCAAATACATCGCACTGCATTAGTGAATGGCAAATTATTTGCATAATACACTCAATTTGAAAGAAAAACCTAATAGTTAAGTGTTTATTAAAACAATAAAACGAGAATGGTGTGTTATTTGATTCCCACGCTCATTTTGAAAGAAAAACTTAATGCTTAAGAGTTCAATAAAACAATGCAATGATAAGTAAAGAGATGATATGATGTGATAAAACTGTTTTGTATCACTAAAAGAGGAAACTCTGCTTCACAGAGATATGATGAAAAGTGTAAAAGATTATGAATGGAATATAAAGTTTGAACATTATTTAGTGCAATTGCATATCTTGTTTTATCTTTTCTGTCACAGAAAGAATCAATAATTGTAATTGAACCAATTCTTTTTTGATAAAATTCTACTCCTGGTCCTGAATTTCCAAGAAATGAACAGTTTTCAATAAGAACAGATGGTCCACCTGCATAAAATGTTCCATAATCAGAATATTTATGATTATTATTCAAAACATTACAAAAATGAAAATCATAGTTACCACTATCTAATTCTAAAATTAAATAATTTGATGTTGTGTTACAAAATGATGAATATAATAAATTACTTAGACTTGTTGGTTGATTTAGAAGTATTCCAGAGTCATATACTGCTTCACAGAAACTTGTATTGATTGATTTAACTTCAATAATTCCATACCAAATATAATTTATTCCTCGCTTTTCTAAATTTCCACATTCATAAAAAGAACTTTCATAAAGATAATTTTTATTACTTGAATTTTTTACTAATTCAACATATGAATGATGACCTAGTCCATTTTCAGAGTTTGTTTTTGATTTATAGCCACATATTCTGTATTGGACAATGGAACTATCACACTTAAAGTAGATAGATCCACCATATGAATCACTGCTGCAATTATTAAATGAACAATATGAGTTAAGAAATTTATTGCTTGTGTTCGTAAAATAAATGGCACTCTCAGTGGTAATACAGATAAACAAACATTCAATGATGAAACACTCGTTTTTCGTGGAACTTCCTTGAATACTTTTTCTAGAAACAGGTTGTGGAACAGGATCGGAATCATAAAATTGTTGCCAAACATCATATTCCGACTGAGTACGATCAGATGGTATTCATTCGTTGGTAAATTTATTCAAAAAGTGACAAAAAATTCAAAAGCCGATATATCAAATTGGGGAAATATAAGAAAAGTAGAGTTCTGCAATTTTTATTAACATTGAGCCATATTCCATAAATTCATTGTAATTGAGTGCATATGAAATTAACATATTAATTAATAATTATTTTCCTTCATCATTAAACAGAATATATATTTATTGGAGAAAATTTCTATGGGAGTTGTGTCTTGTGGCACAATCATAAATATAACCCAAGTTAAACCAGTAATCATCATTGAATATGCTTTATTTTGAAATTCAAGCCAATTTAATAATAAAAAATTCAGTTAAATGATGAAATTAAAAACAATATTAATTATTTTAGTCAGCGTTGCCCCATTGTGAGACGAAATCAGCTAAGTCTAAATCAGTCATATTCTTGATGTAGTCAATGTAATCTTCAATGCAGCAAAGATGTGTCTCGAAGTGTCCTCTATAAACGCATCTACCAATTTCATCCATGTCTAAGAACTTAAAATAAATTTGACATTATCATTTTTTTTATAATTCAAACACACCTCTATATATTGACAAATGGCGCATTATTTACATATCACACTCAATTTGAAAGAAAAACATAACGTTTATGAGTTCAGTAAAAAGATACAAAGAGTAGTAATGAAATGATATGAGTAATGATAAACAATTTCATCATATTTAATGATATTATTTTTTATCATTCTAAATAAAATAGGAAACTTTGCTTCACACAGATAAGATGAAAAGTGAGAGAGATTACAAATAGAATACATATTTTCAATATTGTTTAGTGTGACAGATTGATATGCTTTATTTATTCTGTCGCAGAAAGAATCTTTAATCGTAATTGAACCTGTAAATCTTTGATAAAATTCGTAACCTGGTCCTGTATTTCCAAGAAATGAACAGTTTTCAATCTCAACAATTGATTCACTTGCATAAAATGTTCCATATTTAAATATTTTGTGTTCATTATTCAAAACATTACAAAACTTAAAATTATAGTTACCATAATATATATCTAAAATTACGAAATTTGATGTTGTGTTACAAAATGATGAATATGTTACGTTACTTAGACTCGTTGGAACACTTAGAAGTAATCCTGAATCATAGTCTGCTTCACAAAAACTTGTATTGATTGATTTAACTTCAATATTTCCATATTGAAGACCATTTGTATAAGATTTTTCTAAATTTCCGCATATATAAAAAGAACTTTCATAAAGATAATTTTTATTACTTGAATTTTTAGATAATTCAACAAATGAATGATGACCTAGTCCATTTTCAGAGTTTGTTTTTGATTTATAGCCACATATTCTGTATTGGACAATGGAACTATCACACTTAAAGTAGATAGATCCACCATATGAATCACTGCTGCAATTATTAAATGAACAATATGAGTTAAGAAATTTATTGCTTGTGTTCGTAAAATAAATGGCACTCTCAGTGGTAATACAGATAAACAAACATTCAATGATGAAACACTCGTTTTTCGTGGAACTTCCTTGAATACTTTTTCTAGAAACAGGTTGTGGAACAGGATCGGAATCATAAAATTGTTGCCAAACATCATATTCCGACTGAGTACGATCAGATGGTATTCATTCGTTGGTAAATTTATTGAAAATGTGGCAAATTGAAATAAGGTTTCGATAATTTATCATTTCAAAAAATGTTGCAATTGATATATTTTTCTTTGAATCAATTCTGCTTCGTGTTTCTGAGTTGAATGAATAAAGATCGACTTATTGTGTTCTGATTTGGACAATATTAACCGAATCTGAAGAAAGTAAATATGCTTTTGCAAGCAATACAACATTGATAGACTGTATACTCCAAGGCAGTATTGAAATTCAAAAACATTTCTATACATTAGCAAATGAAGGACTATTTGCATATCGCACTTAATTCCTAAGAAAAACATAATGTTTATGAGTTTAGTAAATAAACACAAAGAGAAGTCATGAGACGATATGAATAATGATAAACAATTTCATCATATGTGATAATATTCTTCTTTACATCTAAAATAGGAAACTCTGTTTCATATAGATATGTTGAAAAGTGAGAAAGGTGATGAATAGAATATATATTTTCAACATTATTTAGTGTAACTGATCCTGTTTTATTTATTATTCTGTCACAGAAAGGATCTTTAACTGTAATTGAACCAGAAGATTCTTGAAAAAATTCTTTTCCTGGTCCTGTGTTTCCAAGAAATGTATAATTTTCAATAAGAATATATGATCCAAATGAAAGATTTGTGTTCATTATTTAAAACATTACAAAAATTAAAATGATAGTTACCATAATTTATTTCGAAAATGCTGTGTTACAAAATGATGAATATATTACGTTACTTAGACTTGTTGAATAAAATAGAAGTATTCCTGGGTCATAGTTTGCTTCAAAGAAACTTGTATTGATTGATTTAACTTCAATATTTCCATAATAAAAGCCATTCGTATAAGATTTTTCTAAATTTCCGCATTCATAAAAAGAACTTTCATATAATCTAAGTAAACATATGAATGTTGTCCATGAGAATTTGTTTTTGATTTGTAGCCACATGTTCGGTATTGGACAATGGAACTATCACATTTAAAGTAGATAGATCGGCCGTCTGTTTCTGCATAATAATATCTTTTCTATCACGAGAAAATAGACCTCGAAGTGTCGACAATACCATTGATGAATTTTAATATTTTAATAATAAAAAAATCCAAATAAATAATGTAATTAAAAACAATATTAATTATTTTAGTCAGCGTTGCCCCATTGTGAGACGAAATCAGCTAAGTCTAAATCAGTCATATTCTTGATGTAGTCAATGTAATCTTCAATGCAGCAAAGAGGTGTTTCGAAGTGTCCTCTGTAAACACATCTATCAATTTCTTCCATGTCTAAGAACTTATTCGTTGGACCACAGTACAAATAAACTTCAGCTCTTCTTGGATTTCCTTCCCAACACATATTTCCACCTTCATACAACATTGTTCTCTCTGTTGCATTGAATCGCTTGAACTCACCAATCGCTGTTCCGTACCATGCAGCGCCTGTGTTTCTGTGCATCATTGCACCGAACATTTGGATCTTGTAGTCATTTCCATCTTTAGAAAGTTCGAATGTCGCCTGTGAAAGTGGCCACCAAACATTGTCTTTGCCCATTGAGTGTTTGAACTTGTCTTCTAAGTGCATGATCTGAATACGAGTATCACTTTCGTGGTTTCGAAGTGCTTCGATCTCGTGTTCGACTGCCATGTATTCTTGGTATGATTTAGGTTGTTCACCACCGAAAACTTTGGAGCCAATCTCTTTGACTCTTTCTTTAGCCTTGTCTAAGAATGAAATTTGTTCTTTCGTTGACTTTTGAAGTCTTTCTTTTTCTGCTTTTCTCATTTGTTTCCATTTTTCGGTTCTGTGTCTGATTCGTTCGTCTTCACGATCCATGCCATGATGATCATCGTTTCGGACATCGTTTCTCTTGATTGGTTTCGGTCTTGGTGTTGCATGGAAAATTAATTCTTCAATTCCTTCGTCAACTTCCCAATCAATGTTGTCGAGAGCTTCGTTGAATGGGTTACGAAGACCATCTGGGTCTGGGACCTCTTCTTCAACAACAACCTTCTTCGATGGCTTGTAAATGTAATCGTGTTTTCTTCTTTCTTTTTCTGCGTACATTTCGGGTGTAATGCCTTGTGCAGCGCGCTTCTCCCACTTCCAAATTTGCTTTTTCTCGCGGCGCTTTCTATCAAGAACATCGAGTTCGTGTTGGAATTTCTTCATTTCATCACGAAGCTCAAGAAGTTCACGCTGCGCTTGTGGGTATGTAATTTCTGTCTCCTTTAAACTTTCTTTCTTGCGACGAAGGCCGGCACGGATCTTTGTGTAAATTGATTCACGAGATTCACCAGCTTTTTTAACCATTGCTGAGCAAACATTAGGGCATTGAGCTTGTGGATTATCAAATTCATCAGAACCATCGCAGCAATCACATATACCATCACCAACTTTGTGAGAAGGAATTAATTTTGGTTTTCCTCCTTCATTATGGCAGTAAAAGTGACCGTTCAAGCATGCAGATGTTCCTGGTTCATCAGAATTATCAGGGCAATCGCACTTACCATCATTTAATGCTGATAATGGAATTGTAAGTGATTGATCAAGGCATGTGAAGCTATTATTAGCTTGGTTAACTGCAAGTCTGTAATCCTCGGATAATTTCGGATCAATTCCGAAAGGATCTGACCTAGTTAATGTAAGAAAAGCTAAAAACATTTGAAATTTATCGATTTGACCAAAAAACTTATTTTTTAAATATATTTTGTTAGATCTTCAGATAAATAACAAATTTTTTATGTTTTGTAAATTTGGCTCAGAATTAAAATTAAGGTTAAATCCTCCCAATCAAATCTCAAAAATATGTTATTTTGAGTGACCATAGAGCTTACAGATATTGGAACAGGTATAATTGATTTTACAGTAAGTTCTACTGTCACCAGTATCAAAAACGGCACAGTTCAGCAATACTTTGCTCTTAATTCTAAAAATTCTTTACAAAATCTCTACTTTGAATCACCATCTTCGCTTAGATTTTTAGGCCATTATGCATTTTATGAATGTTCCAAGCTCTTACAAGTTGATTTTAGTAATTGCACGCAACTTGAACATATTGGAAAATATTGTTTCTCTAAATGCAGCTCCATAACTAAAATTATCTTCCCAACAAACTCAAACCTTGAAATAATTAATCATGCTGCTTTTCATTCTGTAAGTAGATTAAGTCAACCATATAATTTTCCAAATTCCTTAAGATATATCCTTAATGATTCGGGTGAACAAGGTGTTTTCTCAGGATATCCATGTGCAGAATTGAGACTTAATGAAGAGCTCTTAGCTGTTGGTGCTTGTGCTTTTGTTTATTGTAATTGCCAACGAATTTATCTACCTTCTTCAATAACAAGCTTAAATCCTGGTTGTATAACATATTCATGGTATCTTGAAGAGGTTTTGACATCAGGAACATCAACTTCCTTTTCAATTGTAAATAAATCCTTAATGAGTGCAGATAAAACCGTATTATGTACAGTTCCTGCTGGAATTAAAGGAATATATTATGTTCCAAATACTACAGTAACCATTAGATCTAAAGCATTTACATATTCTAGAATTTCTCAAATAATTATTCCAGATTCAGTTAAAGATATTGGATCACAAACATTTTGGCAATGCAATAGTTTATCATATGCGTTTATTTCTAAAGGAGTAACAAATTTGAATATTAATGCATTTCAAGATTGTCCAAGGCTTACAACCATCCATTTAGGAATGCAGACAATACCAAAAATGAACTTACCAGTAGTTTAATTTGTTACAATTGGAAATAAAACAGAAATAATTAATGATTCAGCATTTACTACAATGTCAAAGCTTCGTTCCATAATAATACCTCCATCTGTAAAGTCTATAGGTGAAAGAGCTTTCTTTGGCCTATCAAATTTAAATACTTTGAAAATTTATGGAAATCCAACCATTGGGGCTGATTCATTTAATGGAACTAACATTGTTTGCGGTATCACATGCTATGAAGATCTAGTTCCTTCTCTTATTTCAAATGGGATTAAACAAAAATCATTTGAAATTTGTTGCCGATCAATTGCCCAAGTCAGACATCCAGGATTTAATTTCATTTCATTAACTTTAAATGCATTTGTTATTATTGTAATGTAAAAACATTAAAAAAAAGTTATTTAATTATTATTTTTTACATGAGAATAAATACATAAACAAAAGTGTTAACATTGAACTGAGTGTGGTAGTTAATCTCTCTGCAAGTTATGTATGAACATTCTTTAACAGCAGTAGGATTAAGTTTTCCATTGTCCACAAGATTTCGTATAAACAATTTATTTCTGTTCTCAATCAAAACTCCGCATCTGAGGTTGTTACATCCAACGAATGCATTAGATTCTATCTGAGAAACACTTAGAGGAATATTGAGAGACTGGAGAGAGCTGCAGTTTGCAAACGCATATGATCTTATCGTCTGAACCGAGTTATCAGGGATATGAATACTCAAAATGTTTCTGCATCCAATAAAAGCGCTTGATGAAACAGTTTTAAGATTTGATGGTAAAGAAAAGAACTTTGTTGATGACGCAGGTGGGAAACAAAGAAGAATACTTAAGTTCTTTGTGAAAAGAGCGCCATTATCAACTACAAAATATTCACTAGAAGTACAAATAATTGTTTTTAGGGAAGACTTCCTATTGAAGAAAGTGCACATCCAGATGGAATAATAAATGTTGTAAGGTTTGCACAACCTTTGAAAGCAAAGTTTGAGATATGAGTAGTCATAAATGGTACTTCAAAAGATAAAATTCCTGATGATTCAAATGAATACTCACCTAACATTTCTATTGTTTGTGGAAGATGAAAAGTCGAAAGTTGTGAGCATTTGCCAAATGCACTTTGATCGATTTCTTTAAGATGAGAACCATCCGGAATATTGATTTCGCTTAGCATAGAAGATCCAAATGCATACGATCCTATGTATTCAATAGAAATAGGAAAGATAACACTTGTTAAACTCTGGCAATCATAGAATGCATAATTGTCAATACTTGTTACATTGTTGCTTAAAGATAGGAATGAAAGACTCTTGCAGCCATTGAAGGCATTCTTGCCAATAGTAACATTATAACACTCGACAAACGTTACTTGTGTAATTGAGATGCATCCCATGAAACTATAACTTTCTATAATAGAAATTTTGCTGCCAAACGAAATCAATTTTAATGATTTACAGTCTTGAAAAGCACTTTCTTTGATTGTTGAAACGGAAATAGGAAGTTCAAATGAAGAAAGAGAGATGCATTTGCTAAATGCATTCACATCAATTGTTTCTAGATTCGAACTCGACTCAAAAGTAACAGTTGTTAAGGCAGAATTTGATGAAAAATCACCATTACTTATTGTTTTTACAGTTGATAAAATTGTATATGACGATTTTCTACTTAAACTCATAACAATTATCGATTTATCAGGATTATAAATAATCATCTGTTCATCAATAGATAAAGGAGAACCAGGCGTTAATGTAACTTCTATTCCCGGAGGGAAACAATTTCCTCCTAGTTTAGTAACATTTGGTGGTAAAACAACCATTCTTAAATTTGGACATCCAGCAAATGCATTATCATTTATTGTATGGATATTCTCGGGAATGTTCATTTCTGTAATATTTGTAGAAGCAAAACAACTTGTTGGTATATAGTTCATTCCAGATCCGATTGTAATGGAGTTCAAACTCTTACAACCGCTGAAAGCTCCTTCACCAATTTTCGTAATTGAATCTGGAATTTTAATCGTTTTTAAAGCGAATTTTGTGAAGGCCCAATCATCAATAAAATTTAGTTTTGAGTTAAATATAATAGTTTCTAATGATGCCATGTTGAAAGCTGAATGTCATATAGATGTAACAGAATCTGGAATTGTAAAAGTAGATCTACCGTAGTTTGCTGGATAATAGACAATAGTGGTTTTATCTTTTGAGTATAGTATTCCGCCTTCAGACATGTATTGTTCATTTGATGGATCACAAGTAATAATTTCTAATGTATTAGTTTCAAAAAAGGAAGCAGGTAAGAAAAATGTTACATATCTAGGAATGTATATTGTTTTAATTTTTGTATATGATAATGATCTTTCTCTTATTGATTGTAATTTCGAATCAGAATTAATTGTTAGCGTATGAAGATTTCTACATTCGGCAAAGCAGTATTGCTCTAGCTTTAAAACATCATTCGGTAAAATTATAGTTGAAAATGGGCAGTATTGGAAGCAATATTCTGAAATTGCAGTTAAATGTTCTGGAAGAACAATATTTGATAATTGGACACAACCACGGAAAGCATATGAATTAATGTTTGTTAGAATTGTGCAGTTTGTAAAATCAATTGCTGTAAGTTTTTTATATGAATAGAAAGCACAATCACGGATAGTTTTAAGTTGCGATCCTTGAAGAAGTGTAATTGATTGGAGTGTTTCTGAGCTGCCAGCAAATGCATAATTTGAGCATTTGCCATTAGAAATTGTACCAAGAATGTTTTCACACTCAACTTTGAGAGTATAATGTTCGAAACCAGAAGCTTCGGATAAATCTTTATCGTTGTTGATAAATGTCTCCTTAACTATTCTTCAAACTCGAAGGGAAAAAAAACATTAAAATCATTAAACGTGCACTTTTAAGGTTCCAAAAATACTTTAGTTTTCTTGGAAATATATATTCATCGCAAGTAACATTGTGAGAATTCCGAAAATCTCGTGGAATTTGGGGAACTAAATCTTGTATAACTATCTGAGAGACAGAACTAAACATCTTACTATAAAATGTGATAGATCTATATTATAAAATGGTTAAGTTACATGGCAACAACTATCAGATAGGCATTGTTTCTATAATGATTTTGAAATTTTACTCTATTAGTACAAATTATTGTAAATTTCATTAGCATATTGGGCTACAATAGAATGCTACACAAATGATTCAAAGAAATATCTATAAATCCTTCTTTGAGATTTTGATTTTTCATTTTGATCTGATCAATGTGAAAACATCAACTCGATCACCGGGTACTTTAATAGATTGAGCATGTGTAATAATTGCTTGCATTTAACAGTTTGTTTTCAAATCAAGGATGATGTCAATAAATGCCATTAACTGATCATTGCTTTAATTTGGAAGCTTATTTGTTAATATTAAATTAACCGCATTCAAAATCTAAAATTGAATCTTGAAACATATTTCATCGACATCTCTTTGGAACTTTTGATAATGTTTCCTTTATTTCGATATAAAGGAAACATGAATCAAATAAAAATACATCATGTTCTATCATTTGGCAATGCCTCTAAGGAAAATAATTTCTATTTGGATAAAAAATATTCAATTATAATCCCAACTCACTCCAAAAGAGCCAATGACCTAGATGAAAACATAATTGCTCCATTATTTACAAGAAATAGTCAATATTTAGTTAAAGTTTTTATTTATTGGAATGATTTTGATTTAAATCTCCTTGTACCTCCATCATTGTATTATCTCGAAGAAAAATATGATTATAGAGTTGAAATTGTTCAGCTAAAAGAAAGAACTTTGAATAATAGATTTGTAATTCCAGATAATCTCTATACGGATACAATTTTATCACACGATGATGATTTAACCATCTATATCAAGCAACTTGACAGCTCATTTATAGATTATTTGAATGCAAATTATACAAATCGAATTTCCGGTAAATATACAACTTCATGTTCATCAGACAAATACGATATATATAGTGAAAGGAATTCCAATATGGTGATAACAAATATGGCATTTCTTAATGTTAATATGCTGAAATTGTATAATCTTGATAAGTATAAAGAAGCAAGAGATTATGTTTCGCAGATGAAGAACTGTGAGGATATTTTAATGAATTATATTGTTTCAAAAGAAACTAACCAAAATGCAGCATATTTATTTTTCAAATATAAAACAAAACTTGACGAATTTGGATTATCATCAGCTCCTGATCATCTTTCAAAGAGGACAAAATGCTGCAAGAAGTTTAATGAAATCTTTGGGAGAGACACATTAAAAACTGTTAAGTTTAGTTGATGAAATGGAAGCACATAAACTTTCCCTTAATTTATGATCAGTCTCAAACAGTTTTAATTAATTGCTACAGAAAATTACAACATTTTTGTCAAAAAAAAGTCAAATCAATGAAATTAATAAACAATGATCAGCATAAAAATGAAGTATTTAATGCATTATGTTTTACTATAGGTTATCCACAGTTAGATTTCCATGATTTATACATTTCTTCTCCCAAAATGACACAATATAGAAGAAAGTTAACTTGATATCACATGAAAAGATCAAAAGCTCATTATAACTCTTTAGTTCAAATTCTTTAAATGTAAATTGTTTCTAAAGAATCTAAAGATACACATTAATAAAATTTACATTAATTTTCCTTAAAATCATGAAGAAGCACCATGAGAAATTAGGATGTCTTTGATTTTTGTATTATAATATTGTTTTGCATAATCAAGAGCAGTTTTTCCTTTCTTATCTTTTAAATTTAGATCTACCCCATGTGAAATAATAAATTCTGTAATTTCTAAGCAATTATTGATTGCAGCAGCATGGAGTACTGTCCAGCCATTATTATTTACTGTGTTAATATCAGCATTATTGGATACAAGAAATTCAAATGTTTCTTTACTATTATGATATGTTGCAATATGAAGAGCTGAATCCCCATTACTATCTTTTATATTAATATCAGCACCGTTAGCTATAAGAACTTCAGCTGTTTATCTACTATTATGATGCGCTGCTTTATGAAGAGTAGTTTTTTTCCCCATTTATCTTTTTCATTGATTTGTGCCCCATGCGCAATAAGAATTTCTGCAATATCTTTATAATTTTTAATTATTGCATTATGAAGAGCAGTTTTTCCCCAAAAATCTTTTGCATTGATATTTGAGCCATGTGAAATAAGAAGTTCTACTATTTCTTTATTATTATGATCTGTCGCTATATGAAGCAAACTTTCATTATTTTTGTTTTTTATATTGACATCAGCACCATTTGTAATTAACATTTTTGCAATTTCGTTGTAATTATGATTTAGAGCAATATGAAGAATAGTTTCTTCATTTTTATATTTGTAGTTAAATTCTATTTCAGGTGAGATAAGAACCCTTGCTATTTCTTTGTAATTATTAATAACTGCATAATAAAGAGCAGTTTTAGAATCGGAATCTCTTACATTTTTATCAATTCCATGCTTAATTAGAATTTCTGCAATTTCGATACTGTTACTACATGTTGCATTATGAAGAGCAGTTTGGGATACAGAATTACGTGCATTGATATCAATACCATTTGCAATAAGAAATTCTGCAGTTTCTTTGCTATTATTTTCTGCTGCTATATGAAGTGCAGTTCTGTCAATATTATCTCTTCCATTGATGTCAATGCCATGAGAAATAAGAACTTTTGCGGTTTCAATGCTATTATTTTGGGCGGCTGTAAATAAATAACTAGTTCCTTTGATTTTCATACCATGTGACAAAATAAATTCTGCGATTTCATATGTATTATACATTGCTGAATAATTCATTGGTGAATAATCACTATAAGCCTTGGACAAGTCAATATCTTCATTATTAAGAATATCAATTGTTGGTGAAAAAGCTGTACATAATGGATAAATTGAATTTTTATCTTTTTTGAACAAAAGATAAACTGCTTTCAAGTTTTGTGACATGATTATATTAGTAATATTAAAATTTTGAGGTTGAAATATTTCATCATCGAAAATATATTCAAGAAATTGATTGTTATGACATGAAACTATGTCATTCAAGCAGTTTCTATCAATATTATAGTTTTTCATGCATTCGTTAATAATGTCGGTATTTCCACCAATAAATGAATATTGAAAACATTTTTGATTAATTTGAAAATCTAAATTTGAAATGAGGAAAAAGAAAATGTTGACGGATCCATAATAACAGCAAGCTTCAAGAAGTGGAACTGAATAATCACTTAGAATTTTTATTAAAACATGATGTAGAGTATTTTCAACTGTATATTTTTTGAATTTATCAATTTGATCGTGCATTACTATGTAATTAATATCATTTTCCTTCGGAAATGAATTTTCATCAAAGAAAAACTGAGTGCTAAATTGAAGTTTTTTAATAGAAAATATCCTGGTTGCATTTAAATAACTATCTATTTCTTTATTTCTGTATATGCATTTATAAACCAAAGAACATTTTGTAATGATTTTGTTAATAATTGTAATATATTGTTCCATGCATCGATAATTGTAGTAAATTGCATAAAGGAAGCTTTTAATGAGTTGTAATGGTGGTATTCTGTACTTATCAATTAAAACTGAAATAATATTATTAAATAAGTCTTCAATAGAATCATTTGATTTAATGTGATAGATTTTCTCATACGTGTCGATGAAATCCCTATATCTCTCAAGAAAATCTATCTTATTAATTAAAGAATCAGAGATTTTTTTCTCCCATTAAAAATTTTACTTTTTGAAAAAAACCGATTGTAGGTTAAAAAAAAATCAAACAAATAGCGAAGCATTAACTAATTAAAAATTTCTCATTCACTACACATTGACCATCATATAAAAAATGTTGTAATTTCCCTTGTACCCAAATTTTATTTTTGACACTTCCTGACTTTTATATCTCTTCCAAAAATAAAATTCGACACTTATATATCATTCATATGATATATGATAATATGATAATACTATATCCAATCATAAATTATCTATATTATGATTATTTTTGATTCAAACTTGTTCGGTATTAGAAGCAAAAATAACTATAATCAAGACTATTCCAATATTATATACTTTTTATGCGCCCAAAATTGTTAATTTGGATTAGCCCTACATAAAAATAAGATGATGATATCAGGAAGTATGAATTTGTCATATCATGTGTATTGGAAAAATATTGTTGAAGGACGTGCAGGTGCAGGTTAAAAGTTCTTATCTGTCATGAAAATGAAATATAGTTTAAGGATACAATTACAACTTTCTGATATTCTCTCAATTTTTTGACATCAAAGCTTTCTCCCAATTTTCTAACTAAAAAGTTAATATTTTTGGTCGGGAAGAAGTAATTATAAATCCTTATATAATGCCTAGTATGTTTGTGATAATTTTTTGCTATTCTAATAAAAGTATATTGATTTTGCAAGATCATGTCAGAAAGTTGTAAGTGCACCCTTAATAATTAAATCTTGAAATGATTTTGCAATAATCTTGCCTTCCAGAAAAAGTTAGAACTTGATGTTTGACATAAAAGGCAAGGTTCAGAATGAGACATATCTAGAAAGTTATGCAATTTAAATTTTAAATAATCGTTTTTGTATCTCCATCTAAAACAGGTGATGCGAAAAATAGTGTCAAAATTTATAGCAGATTTTACAAAACCGCAATATAATTAAATAATATTTATATAAAAAATGTTTACAAAATTAATTCATCAAATTTGTAGGATTGATGTCCCCAAGTAAATAAGTCATACTTCTTAGAGAGTTTCTTACTTTCTCCCCAGCAGAACAAATCTCTCACGAAAGAGTCAGAATCGTCAACAAACTTCATCTTTCGGAGATAACTGTCTTGTATTGACACAAACTTGTCAACGTTGTACAAACCATATCCAGGAATAAGTTTCATTGCCTTGGAAATTAAAAAGTTGTCTGTGTCGTAATTTTCAAATTCAGGAAATCCTCCAACAGATTCCCAGAATAATTTTGAAGCCATGAAGAATCCATCTCCGTATTTTTCGAGAGAATACTGTGCGATATTCCTCATGAACTTGAATTTGTACTCTTTGAGGTCTGTTGTAACAACAGATTTGTACAAAACATATGGATTAAAATCTCGCATTTTAATTGCTTGGAAGAAAATGTCTCTAAGGAGGACATTTGCATCTACAACAGCAATAAACTCTCCTGATGCACGGAAAAGTCCAACATTTTTAGCTTCTATCAGATTCATCGGAATATTATACTTGATTTGAGTTGTATGGCCTTGCAATTCGAGAGGAAGGTACTCAAACTTGTCATTTCCGACTAATATGACCTCGAAATCGTTAATCTTGAACTCATTAACGTTATTTGCAATTGAATTGAGGAGTTTTTGAGTTCTAGAGGTCTCATTCTGGAAAGCAATAACAAAGGATATATAAGGAGGACGTTTAACAACTTCGTTGTCCATGTTTTTGGCGAAATTGTTAAATGCGTTTGGTTGACCATCAATTTTGTGTACTTTGTACGATAGGAATGTCTGATAGTCTTTTTCTTTACCATAATAGAAAGAAATTGAACATTTTCCGTTTGGATTTGCAAAATCTTTTATTGCTTTCTTTAAATTAAGCTTTTTTGAGCCTTCAACAATAATATATGGATCACGGTTTGATTTAGAATCAAGTTGTTCCATCACAAACTTACAAAATTGAAAATCATGAATATTCCACAAAAACTCATCTTCTAATGGTAAAGTAACTTCGGAATGATGAGATTTAAGACAGTCATGATATGCCTGTGAAGCCAAGTTCTTGTTACTGAGTAAATTTGGTTGTTTGATAATTTGACCTCCAAAGTCATTAATTATCTTTGAAATTGAGTCATTTGGTATCTTTTCGAAAATAAAAGTAAATGGAATATTGTTTGATTTGAAATATCTTGAAATTCCTTGGATATATTGATCATCATTGTGCATTATTTGATCTACAGGACAACTAACAACTCCTCTTGTTATCCTAACTGTTTTAAGTATTCTGGTAGCATATGATGATGAAAAATCTAAGAAATTTTGGCAGCCAATTCCAATTGTTGGAATGTGCTCGTTCTTTGCGTAATGTTCGAGAGATGATCCGATTTCTGTGTTGCTTCCAATGATAAGGAAGTAATTATCTGATAAATTTTTTTCATAAGGATTTATTCCGAGAAGACGAGATTGTTCGAAAGCGTAATTCGTTCTATTTATGCATTTATCGTCTGAATTTTGTACGTACGGTGTAAATGAATCTAAAATTGACTTCCTGAAGTAAATTGAAAGCGGACTAAGTAAATTTGAGTGCTTATATTTCAAAATTGTTGAATATCTTGGATCTATTTTGCTAACATTGTTAATTCCATATGGTAACTCGCTGATATGTCTCTGTGTTAAGACTGGAATTATAATTAAAAAAACAATTACGCCTAAAATTAGCAAAGTAGTCGAGTTGCAATACTTCAATACGAATTTCCTGACTGGACGAGGAAGATTTTTAATGAATGGATGCATTTTGTACTCAGGATCAGGGTCGATGTATTTCATTAGTAATAAATGATCATATGAAGAAGACAAAATATACTTTATATACATGACTTTACTTAATATATCACAAATATCACGATAATTAAATAATTAAAATAATTAATTTTCGAATCTCAGACTGACAATTCTCAGCCATTAAGAGAATTTGATGCAATTTTGCATCCAAAGATAGAAGATTTGGTTTCTAGTTATATTGCGAATGAAGGAGAAACAAGTCAATTGACTTATTTGAATATCTTACAAATGGATAAGTCTGAAAACTTCATAAACTCGACATAATTGCTAGTTTAGTTTTAAAGAAATCTTTCTTACATTCATCAAAAAGAAAGTATATCAAATGTTTAAGGGTCCACTGTAAAAATTGAAAGTCTCTCAAAATTGAGAGGCGATTTGCAAATAATCGTTATCGTCATTTTTCGAAAATCCACTTTTCCTAGTGTTCTGATTAATATTATGTGAATACAACAATGAAGCATATGTTTCAATAAGATGATAATATATTCTATCACTTCAAATCTCATAAAAATTGCAAAATCAGTGAGTTTTATAAGAACATGATTTTTTCGAATTTTTTCGCTTTTGGATGCGTGTTTTGAAAAATAGATATTTTCGAATTTTAATTTTATCTTAAGTATAAATTTTATATTAGGAATTTTTTTGACCTATTTCCAATCATTAATTCCAATGTTTTTCAAGGAATTTAATTGAGAAGAAATTAGGAATTTCGCTTTAATGCCATTACAAACTAATATTATGATGCATAATATATATATTTATTGAGGCTAATGCCGGGATATCTTGCATTTAAAAAAAATTCAAAGAATTGACAATTGGATAGCACAAATTTAATTCTCTAGACAAAGTATTATTGTTTATATATTCAAACCATTATCCTTAGTTTAGATATGTTGGCCAAAAATTTTCGTGTTATTTTTTGTGTTTAAGCATAAATTATGTATTTACTTATGAAAAATAAGCATTTTATTCATTATCATAAAGATATACCATAACAATTGATAAAATTTTTTTAAAAAAAAATTGTGTATTTTAGTGGGTATTATTCTGGATAATGTCAATTTTTACAAGATTTAATATTAACCATATCAATAGCCGACTCAATGTAAAAATTTAGATATTATTTTTTTCATTAATCAAACTTTGATAAATTTTAGTATAATGAATGATTTTGTTTCGTGTATGATACAGAAATGAAAAGCTTAATTAATATCATTTTGCATTTTTTCAAGAATGTTAGAGTACATCTACATTAAAAAATCGGATTCGAATTGCAATACTGCATCAAATTGGTGCACATCTGATAAGGATCTCAAAAGAGTAAAGTTAATTTTTTTGTGTTTTTTTAAGTTTTGGGCCTTAGTAAAAACACCATCTTGAGCAATATTTTTGGGACGACGATAGCCTTATTTGGCCTTACAGTGGACCCTTAATTCCGATATTTTTGATTCTCTTATAAAAGACTCTATATAACCACCAGAATGGATCAATAAAATCATTGAAAGCCCACTTTGAGCATCTGTTATGTTTTCTTTGTTAGAAAGATTTCCAAACTCTGAATTTCTGAATTATTGTGTTACTCAAGTATGTTTAATTGCACATGCTTAACTCAGCTCTGAATGTTTACTGATTTTTGCAGGGTGAATTGTTATAACTTCCGATTTAAGGTTGTACATTTGTGTAAACTTTTCAAAAATACAATCTTAATAACGTATACAATTAATTCAAACTTCTATTGTCCATGGCAGCACTGTAGTTGGTAGTGTTGTAAACAGAAATTCATCAAAAGTGACACCTCAGAAAAGCTAAAATATTGAATTTTTGGAACTTTTGATAGAGCACGTTTTTAAATATTAATTAAAGTAAATGTATATTTTGTAAAGATTCTTTTTAATAAAAAAATAAAATTTTGAAGAAGAACACAAAATCTTCTGAAAAATAATATCACATAAACTCATATTATTTTCTAATATATAACTATTTTCTATAAAAATCAAATTCAATGATCTTAAAAGCGAAGGATAAACCTCAAAATTTACGAATATAATGAGTGGGAATATAATGCTTATCTATCATAAAACCATATGAAATATCAATTTTTGCTTTACGCCTAATTTTTGACGACAATTAGCAAAAAATGTTAAATGTTAACACTCAGTCCATTTGAATATGAAAAATAAAATTGACTTTGATTAAATGTTTTTATTTATCATGCAATTCTTCTTGCGACCAAAGATTTGAATAAAAGTTCAAAAAATAAGATAGCTTAAAAAATAATATACGGTAGTGTTTACTAATAGATGAATAGTATATAAATTCTATTAAAATGGATTTGATCCAAAAAAATATAAAACCAAAAATAATTGTTAGAATTTAAGGGTGCCCGATAGACGATAGACCACCCTCAGAAAAGCACTTTTAAGGCTATTATATTGAGAACTAGAATCTGGATAATCCATTCATTCGAGTTCTAATAAGGTTAATTTTGTGATGTTTACATTATCGTTATAGGGCACCCTTAAATGAAGAAGTAATTTAAAACGATTTTATTTATGATCAAATTTTATATATTTTTTTGGATCAAATCCATTTTAATAGAATTTATATACTATTCATCTATTAGTAAACACTACCGTATATTATTTTTTAAGCTATCTTATTTTTTGAACTTTTATTCAAATCTTTGGTCGCAAGAAGAATTGCATGATAAATAAAAACATTTAATCAAAGTCAATTTTATTTTTCATATTCAAATGGACTGAGTGTTAACATTTAACATTTTTTGCTAATTGTCGTCAAAAATTAGGCGTAAAGCAAAAATTGATATTTCATATGGTTTTATGATAGATAAGCATTATATTCCCACTCATTATATTCGTAAATTTTGAGGTTTATCCTTCGCTTTTAAGATCATTGAATTTGATTTTTATAGAAAATAGTTATATATTAGAAAATAATATGAGTTTATGTGATATTATTTTTCAGAAGATTTCATTCTATATGCCTATGAAAAGTACTCTCAAAACTAACTTTTTCCTAATTATAATTAAATCTAGAATATTGTATTATGCTTAGTATTATTTCATTTTTCTCATTCAATTTAGAATTTACAAATGTCAAAAAATTGAGAGTTGTCACTTTTGATGAATTTCTGTTTATTACAGTAGTATATTTTAATTATTTTCTGATTATAAAAAAGATTGAGAAGTTTACAAGTCAACAGGAAGTATTTCATAGTACCAAGCCAACTGACTCTGTTTGGAAACTATTTTACGAAACAGAACCAATATCAGAACCTTTTACCGGAAAGACTATTACCACAGCATCAACAAAAAACGAGTGTTTTATCTTCGAATGCACATTTGTCTCTTATAAATATAATAGTGCCATTTATTATACAAAACCAAGCAATAAGTTTCTTAATTCCGACTGTTCATTTAATAACTGTAGTAGTAATACAAATGGTGGATCTATCTACTTTAACTGTGATAGTTCCATTGTCCAATACAGATCTTGTGGCTACAAATCAAAAACAAACTCTGATGGACATCATTCATATGTAGAATTAGCTTCTAATTCAAATAAAAAAAATTATCTTTATGACTGTTCTTTTTATTTATGTGGTAATTTAGAAAAATCTTGGACAAATAGTCTTAAGTATGGAAATATTGAAGTTAAATCAATCAACACAAATATATGTGATGCAGACCAGGACTCTGGAATTACAGTAAATAATCCAAAAAGTCTATGTGACATAACATATTCGTCCTTTTGTAACACAACATCAACTTATTCAATTTTTGGTTTGCATAGTGGTAATTATAATTTTAAATTTTGTAATGTTTTGAATAATGAACACAAAGAGTCTAATTGGAGAACATTCTATGTTTGGTTTACAACAATTCTGGTTGAAAACTGTTCATTTCTTGGAAACACGGGACCAGGATTAGAATTTCAACAAGCTGAAACTGGTTCAATTACAGTTAAAGATTCTTTCTGTGACAGGATAATAGAAAAAACAACAGGATCAGTTACAACAAATAATGTTCAAAATATATATTCTATTCTTCACCTTTCTCACTTTTCATCATATCTATGTGAAGCAGAGAAAGTGAGAAAAAAGAATATAATCACATATGATGAAATCATTTATCATTTCTCATATCATTTCATTTCTTCTTTTTGTATGAATTTACTATACTCATAAATTTATTACTTTGTGCGAAATAAAGAAAAACCAAACCAACCAGGACTAAGAAAGAAAAGTATAATAATTACACAATAACAAAAATACAGACACAATTAGAGCAATCAAAATCGATTTGGTTGATAGTAAAGCATCCAAGTTCCATTGGATCGAGCAAAAGATATACTTTGATCATCATCGGATTCACCAAAAGAAAAGCGTAATTTATAAAGTTTCCAAAATAAAGAATGGACTTCTGTTGTAGAAAAACTCAAATCTGAGAATTAGTGAAATCATTTGAAATCCAATTTTGAGCATCTGTTATGTTTTCTTTGTTAGAAAGATTTCCAAACTCTGAATTTCTGAATTATTGTGTTACTCAAGTATGTTTACGTCATCCTGAGAATGTTTGTGATGTTCCTCCGTATGTATTAAATCTTAATGCATTTCAAAATATCATCAGATTTTTAATCGAAAACTCGGATCAAAATCATATCAACAGATCCGAGAATATCCATGGAAACAGCATTTATTCTCAATCGAGATGCACAAATCTGTTTTATCCAAGATAACTAACGAAGTCTTTCCCAAAACATTACATAACTCAACGTATTCCAACGTACACTAATGAACTTGATGGTTGGTCATCAATGGAGATTCGATTTTCTAATTTTTTTAGCCCGTAGATGTCAAAACCGCCAATTTTTGGAAGATGCGTAGTGCATCTTATGAAGGTCTATATGCAAACTGAAATTAAGAGGGGATGAGCTATTTCATTGAACTGAAAATTATTGAATGA